TTGTGAAAGAAACCAATGTTTTAAGTTATGGTCTTCGTCTCTAGGTTGACATTTCACTACTTATCAAGCTCCCCTACTGACGGTGCGTAAAATGTCGAAGCCATGTTGTTTTCGCTTATTTACTTGGCAGAGCACTTATTAACGTTCTCATATGTCTGGATTCCCATCTAAGCTGACGCAGTCCGTAATTGCGAAAGTAGATAAACGTGGTTAGGTCAGACTTGGAGTGTTTGCTGGCCCTGGTAGTCTTCGGCGTTCGGTAGTAGCGATGCACTACAACTTGTTATGCAGTCAGCTTAATCACTTCAGGTAACAACCGCTCTAGTTACAAGTATCATACGACATTAATCATTTCAGGCGATCAAGAGAGCTCTGACATTAATTAATCTTAACTTACCTCCTCGAACGCTAGACATTTGTTAAATTCTGTAGATCAATTTTTGCAAAAGCCTCGCATTATCTTTGTTGGTCATTTTCGAGCTTTGCGATAATTACAATTTCTTGTTCTGTTATCGCCGAATTCGCTTAATAGATGACTCCAGGTGAGCTGGAATTCAGACTTCACGCAGACCCATACCGGGTGTTTGTCCACGGGCAAGTCCTCAACAGCCGTCTGGTCATATTATGAGGACCGGAAGTCCCTGCGCGTTCCTTGCTGGCGGTACTGTTATTCGATGGTATCACACAAGAGTCCACGACTGTAATTCTTAGTTAATCTGTTCTCCTAATAATGCCGTAATGCTGTAATTACGCCATGCTATGAAACAATATCCTATCACCTTCACGGAACCCCATTGAATGAGCCCTTGTTGTTACTGAAAAAACGGGCCTACAGAGCAGGAGTCAAGCTGACTTGAGCTCGAAATCTATGCAAAATAAACCTTGCATAGTTTAACCTTCAAAGGATTCTTATCATTTACTCAAGTTTGAGAATTCACACACGTCATCAAGACCTGCCACCTTACTGGTTCCTATTTCATTAACAGTCAGTGAGTAATCGCGTCGTGTCCGTATTTTTTTCTTAAAGTTTCAATCTCCGAATTTGTCGCCCGACTCGGCACAGGGCATGCAGTTGAAACTAACTTCACTTACTGCCAAACTTCTGATGAGGAGGCTTATTTCCTCGCAAATGTCCTTCAAAACCATTTTCCCCTCGGGGCGTTTCCGCTCATCTAATTATTTTTCGTCAGTGACGTACATCGACTAGTTTTGGCCTGTAAGAGAAACGTCAAGACTGCATTGTTTCTTTCCGCAATTTTTTGTCAGTTTTTTTGGTGTGTTTTAACCCCACTAAGATGTTTCCCAGACTGATTCTGTATCAGACACCTGACGGACAAGTAGCTAGGTTTAACCTTATTCCAGTTCAATTGGCGTTTTGTAAACATTGTCTACTGCATCCTTTAAACAATAAAAATAGATTATCCTGATTGACGTACGTCCTATGATCAGCTTCATGGAGTTGGGTTCCTTTGCAAATGCAGAAACCTACAAGCCCACCGGTCCATCGATGTTTTTAAATCCTACGCTCAGATTCCGTTATCTTTGGCATGGCTGTTCTTTTATAGCTTGATTCTTGTCTCCGTTGCTATCTAATCGAGTTTGCTATGCTCATTATCCGAGTCGGGGCTTTGCTTGCCACGTTTGCTTGTTTTAATCGATGTAAAACTGCAAAAGCTATCAGGTCTGACACCATACCATCCTGCTTCCCAACTTTAACTCACAGAGCCCCCCTTACTTGTTTACTCACTTTTTTTCCATTTCCAGTAAAAGTAAATCTTCCAGCCCCAAATTTGACTGCTTTTTCTGTTCCAGACTTCGGCTGCTGCTGTTGCCGCCGCCGCCGCTGCCAACGCCACTACAAACTCCCACCCGACTGCTGTTCCCGCAGGTACTCCCCTGG